GTGCGCCCTCTCTAATGAGATTAGTTTTTGTACTTCGCATCTCGCACAATGCGGTCGTTCGGTTAGGCTGAGATATGTTTGTTTAAGTGTCAAAATCTCAGTCAGAATCAGTTTTTTAGCAAATTTGAAATAATTGTCAATACTAGCAACGGAAATTATAATGTCGGCCGTTTTTATGTGTGATAACAGAACCTAAATCGAGGTAAGGCTAGGCCTAGCCTAGCAGCGTTAGATAGGCTAATGTTTTCGGCGCCTACGATATTTCTTCTCACGACCTATCGCAAAATCAAACATAAAAAAATCATCCGCATTTATTTTTTGTGTGGAACACAAAAAATCGAATTTCAGTCTTATTTTACATTTTTTTCATTCTTAGGAATGTCTAAATTCAGTTAAACTAGCAATTCCGTATTATATTTATAAATCTTTATAACATTATGCAAAAATTAGATTTTTCTTAAAAACTGAAATTTTGCCGGGAATGGGGCTTTAAAAATAAGTTATTTTAGTTAAGTCCACCAACCTCTGTAAATTTTGCTCCAACCACCGAAACTGACCAAAACCGTATACCGTACATGTGAATCTTAATTTTTTTTAAAGTCTGGGACATACTTACTGTGTAATTTATCGTTGAATCTGGCCCCCTCTTACAAGGGTCGACAGGTTGGTTCGCAAGATCAAATTCAATATGCTCTATGGTTTTCTTGAAGCTGACGGGTCTTGGGTGGGTGATCGGGAGAGGGGCATCAACCAGCTCGTTAAAACTTTTGTGATGTTCTTTTGCGGCCATTTTTATCCTTATGAGAGCAGAAAACAATTTAATTTACTTTGAAATCATTTTAACAAAATAAAAACAAGTTTATATTTAATAAAAGATGTCACACAAAAATTGATAATAAAAAACAATTAAAGGGGAAGTGCGGAGATGAGACAAGTGGCCATATATTTCTTATTTAACCTTTACTGAGTTCAGGAAAAATACTTCAAAAATTAAAAATGCTCAGATGTAACGATAATTATAGAAACAAAACATGATGAGACAGGAAAATCAGGTGAAAACGAGGCTGATCACTTTTTTCAGTAGCTTGGTAGCATTTTCTAACCAACTCATTAATATTCATGACCAGTCTGTCAATTTTGGCGAGCAGCTGATCGAAGAATCATCCCAACGATGATTGAGCGACAGCCTAGACAATAGTGTGAAGCCGTGAGTTTTTGTGATCGTTTACGTACGCAGTAACAGAGAGAGGGTTTAGTCAATCATGGGAATAATTCAATTGAATTAATAAAGGTATATTAGTCCGATGACTTGTTTGTTTATAATTAGGCCTATGCCTAGGATTAACACAGTCAGTGTCTACCCAGCAGCAGTGCACTCTAGTCCGGGACGCTGCTCCAGTCCCGCAGCAGGTGAGTTCGCACGCAGCCTTATCCAGCTTACAGTAAAGTTAGTAGATTTCTACTACTAGCCTAGCCTTGTCATGCCATGGCGACTTCGTCACATTTGCCAGTGAATTTTTTTTTCATAAATAGACCTAGGCCCCTAGGCTTACTAATATTATACTATAAGCCTAGGCCTGGTCCTATGAAAAACTGTCTAGGCCTAGGCCAAAATCATATGTCTAAAAACTGTACTGTAAAAGGTGATGTGCTATTACGAAAATGACCAATTCATTCCAATTGGAAATTGAATTGGATTCAATATGAGTCAGTTGGTTTGTAATTGGAATGAATTGGATCCATTTGGTTCCAATTAAGAAAAAAATATTCCAATTGGAATTTTGGAAAAAATCCTATTGAAATCAATTGGATAACAAATGTCCAATAGGATTTTTTTTTTATAAATCCAATTGGAATGATTCGGATGACAAATGACCAATTAGAAATTGGAAAAATCCAATTGGACAATTAATTTCCAATTGAAATTTTTTTTTTAATCCAATTTGAACTTAGTTCAAATACCAATTGAACTAAAAAAAAACAAATCCAATTAGAACAGATTTCCAATTGGATTATAAATATCCAATTGGAATTTTTTACTTATTCCATTGGATAACAAATATCCAATTGAATTGCCTTTAAATTCCAATTGGATAAGAAATATTCAATTGGATTGTCTTGAAATTCCAATTGGATTGTCTTGAAATTCAAATTGGATAGCAAATATCCAATTGGATTGTTTTTTAATTTCAATTGGAAGAGAAATATCCGATTGAATTGTTTTAAAATTCCAAGTGGATATATCCAATTGGATTGTCTTTAAATTCCAATTGGATAACAATTATCCAATTGGATTGTCTTTAATTCCAATTGGATAACAATTATCCAATTGGATTGTGTTAATTCCAATTGGGATTTATTTGACCAATCAGAATGCAGTATTAACAGGTCTCTTGACAACTGCGTGATAAAAGTTATAAAGTTAAAATGCGCCATTTTTGCACAATGACAGGCTGTCCTGCTCTGAGTTGTTTTTGTTCATAGAAAGTAAGTATTTTATCAATTTTGTGTTCAAATTCCTAAACTATTTAATACAATAATAAGCCTGGTCCTTTCTTAGACTTTTTTGAAATGAATATTGGCTTAGATTAATTAGAAACTGAATTTAAAAATCGAACATTGCCAGCCAAATGCCAGTGACCTGAGGGGCCTAGAAGTGTATAGCCTTCCTTAGGCATGAAGGCCTTCACAGGATGGGTAGCATATGGCTGTGTAGGTGGGGCTAGGCTTTGTCTGCTACATGCCATATCGTTAGGCCTGTCCAAGCCTAGGCTATTCTTGCACAGCCTAACTCAATAATAACAGGGTAATGATTAGGCCAAGCCTAGGCCTAGTTCAGATTACTTCGTATTTGTTTTAAACTTTTTAATTTTTTTAAATTTAAATTTGTTGATTTAGGCCTAGGCTAGGCCTAGATAATATAAAGGCCTAACCTAGGCCAGCAGGGGGATATAATTTTTATTACTAGTACTAGGCTAGTAGTAGACCTATGTATGTGAGCCCAGGCCTAGCACAGGGAAGGCTAGGCTATAGGCTATCTCTAGGCCTTTAGTCTAGGCTTAGCCCTAGATAAAGGCATGCTATAGGCCTAGTAGTACTGTTTAATTAATTATTGTTGATAATTAATGAATGATTATTATTATATCATCAGTATCATTATATCTAACTGCTTTTTATCGCTAGGCCTATACTGTTTTTGATTGTTTTTAACAGATTAACTAAATTTTAAAGCAAGCTCTGCAATCTGATGTCAGGTATTTTCTGTTGAAACTAAACATAAATTTTAACTTCAACTTTCCAACAAGTGTCAAGGCTATAGGAATTGCAATTTGTATTTTTGATATCGACCACTCCAAAAATGAATTTGTAATTCGCCAAAAATGTAAGCGTGCGTTTCAAGCTGTCGACGAGGAAAAGAATATTAATAAAGGGTGAGTCATGGATACTTAAATATGCATGTAGTACCTCACTCATGGCCATTTGCTAGCACCACTTAAAATACTTCCCAATGAGTACATTTTGGGGAGTGTATGTCTTCAGGACAACTGAATTTTTTAAGCTACTTGTCCTAGGCTAGGACATGTGAAATGAAATTAATTTCCCTCATGCTAATTAGCTTTTAAAATTAATCTTTATAATATTATTAGTTTTCAGAATGGCCGGTGCAGTTATAGAACAACTAAGTACTAGGACAATTGCAAAGTTACTGGAACAACTATAGTTAAGAAGATTGCTGACCTGCGAATCTTAAAGTGCTAAAATAAAAAAGATGGGGTGCACAGTACATAATAATTATTACTGTAGGTATGACTATATATTTAACAGAAACCAGATTTAAAATATGGTTTGTGAACAATAATTTTATAATTTAAGATTTTTTTAAATCATGCATAGGCCTATATGTGTTCTATTAGGCCTATATGTATAACGTGTACTGATGCATATTTACATGTTTAGAAGTATTCATTTTGAGTGATCCCAGGAAAGAATTTGTATTGGCTCAAGAATAAGCTTTAAATTTTTAACACCGTGTACAAAGGAGGGGAGCCGCGGCTCCTACGGCTCCCCCACCCTTAATACGTCCCTGTGTTACTCCAAACCTAAATTTCAGCTGTTGTTGAAATGTGGAATTCAAATTTAAAAAATATATATATATATATATTGTGTAAAAAATGATAATCCAATTCAGCTTTAATGAAGCGTAGGGATATCTTCTCATACTTCCTAAGCAAACAAGTTGGCAGGTCTTCCGAACTAAAATCCTTTATGATGGAACCAAACGGACGCAAATTGATGAAAAATACAACACATTTTAAGAAAAGAACTAAGGATTTAATTGTAGTAAACATGTTTCGGGTGTTCTCTCTCACCCATCATCAGTACAAACTGAAAGGCGAAATAAACGGAAAGAAAAACCTTGTCATTCTTAACTAAGAGTATTTATACAAGGAATGAATGAATATTAATTAGTGAAAACAAATTGTTACCAATTAAGGTAACGTAACGATCGTTCTAGATAATCATATGCAAGGTGTATAGAACACCTTGCATACATTAGTGCTGTATGCTAATTTAAAAGTTGTAAGCTTAAATGTTTGAGTTGAACGTTGAGATTTGGACTGTTCCATTTAATGTGTAGTGATTCTTTTATTCGTAATCTAATTTCACTGTTGTCCTGGTCTATGACGTTGAAGCAAGTGGTATTAGCTAATGTTTTGCATTTTTTATTTTCATTTAGATGTTTTAAAATGTGTGAATTTTTGTCTTTGCCAAGCTGTTCGTCAATCCATATAGTACTCAAGTGTCGGCTAGTATAGCCTATATAGGTGGAAATACTCTTAGTTAAGAATGACAAGGTTTTTCTTTCCGTTTATTTCGCCTTTCAGTTTGTACTGATGATGGGTGAGAGAGAACACCCGAAACATGTTTACTACAATTAAATCCTTAGTTCTTTTCTTAAAATGTGTTGTATTTTTCATCAATTTGCGTCCATTTGGTTCCATCATAAAGGATTTTAGTTCGGAAGACCTGCCAATTTGTTTGCTTAGGAAGTATGAGAAGATATCCCTACGCTTCTTTAAAGCTGAATTGGATTATCATTTTTTACACAATTGTAAAACGTTCGGCGTTTTCCCAAAATTTTTTTGTAGGATAAGATATGTGAAACATGACACTCTGGTCACATAGGTATTTGTCAGTTGCAATGATGAGACAAAAATACCACATACCAATAACATTTGCCGTGAGTACAACCACCCCAACATTGGCATCTAGGAAAGAAGGTGGTACAAAGCATACAAGCTCCCAGCAAAACGTTGGCAAGAAACACTCTGGTTGTTTACTGAAACTTGTAATGGAAGCTACACACAATTTAAGGTGGAGCAATGGAAATTAAGTGAATATCTCATCACTGTTCAGCCAGAGTATATGAAAAAAATATATTGGAATGGTAAAAAAATATCAGCATGGTGTTTCTGTTTTATTAAGAAACGACAATAACACTAGGAGACAGGAAGGCTTCAATCAAGTATTTAAAAAAACAAGTTTTGTTTAACTGAAAGTACTGTCAATTGATGAATGTCTTTTCAGATGAGTATATACAGTATTTCAGTATGGTATGTGATTGATAAAGCAGCAAATGCCAATGTTTGATAACATTTTTGATTTTTAACAAACCTGGTTTTTCATTATTGTCCGAACCCCCCCGCGAGAGATGGAGTTCCGTGAAAATTAGGAAGATTTTTTTATGTATTATTTTATGTTAACAACCAAACAGTAGGGGCCTACTTGCTCATTAAAGCTAATGTATGCTTTAATACATGTTCTTTTTTCTTATTTTTAATCTGCTAATGAATGTACTTACAGTTGAACCTCGTAACAACATACCCCTCGGGACCATAGAAATTCATTCACTATATATCCATATAGCACATGTATGTCCTAACCAGGGTAAAAAGCCATTGATTGTAATCATTGGAACTTAAAGTACAGTACTTAGTTTATATCACTGTTTTACACTGGAAAGGTATGGACCTATTATTATAACGAGGTTTGGATGTAAATGTATAGTTAACGTTATTCGCTTTTGGATGCACATTATTTTAATTAATCAAATAGATATTTATATACTAGTGTTATGAATTTCAATTAAGAAAAGTTAAAAGAAATGAGGAGTGGTGGACAATGAAAGTTCAAAATTGACTGTTCATATGGTTTAGTTATGTTTGGAATAATCGAAATGTCCATGATAAATATACTTTTATTCACGAATTCAATTAAGAGTAACTGATATAGAAACACAAAAATGTTATGAAATAATGAGATCACAATCAAAAGTATTATTGTTTATTTAAACAGAGTATTACAACAGATAATCATCTTTTAAATATCCCCAATTTAATATATAATATTAATGTTAACTAAGCTAAGGCTGGGCATTCTAGAACTTGAAATTGAAACTGGTCTTTGGAGCAATACTCCACAACAAAACTGTATTTGTAAAATGTGCAACAATGATTTAGTGGAAGACGGGTTCCATTTCAACATTAGAAAGAAGTTTATTCCGCAATATTATTTCAATTATCCATCAATCAAAAAGTTGTCTTTTTTAATGTCTAATATTAAGTCAACAATTATTCAACTGGCACAATATACTCATCTTGCTTTTAAAAAAAACGAACACTTTGGGCGAGACTTTTTTTATACCTTGTTTCGCGAACTTTTTTTGGAAAATCTTTCAAGAGGAGGGTGGAAAAGAAATAATATAATAATATTTATATTTATTTGAGGAATATATACTTCGTGATTACATCACATAGTACATCTTTTTACTATATCAAAAAGTATGCAACTTTAAATTTTCGAAAAAAGGGATTCCATGTAGCGGAGGACAGAATAAAAATAAATATAAATTTTTATTTATTTTTTTTTCAATTTTTCATGGCGGCTCGTACGCTAACACACTTATAATAAAATTTTATTTTTATTTTGAAATCCACAATTTCGGAATTGGAGGGTTCGCTAAACAAGGTATAAAGAAGTCTCGCCTTATTTAAAGCACTAAAAATGTATATTTATTTATACTGTAACACACTGAATAAAGTCCCCATTTAGGGGAGAGAAGAAGAAGTATGTGGGTTTTGATAAGGAGTTCCGCATAGTCACAAGCCGAACCCCCCCATTGAAATTCCTAAATACGGGCCTGACAAAGATCTGTCGCATTAATGAGCAGCTCTTATCTTGGACAGATGAGAGCCAGGGGCGGATTTAGGGGGGGGGCCGGCCCGGCCCCGGCCCCCACTTTTGGGAGGTAAAAAAAAGGAAAAAAAAGGAAAAAAGAAAGAAAAAGAAAAAAATGATAGCCCACAACGCCTCAAAATGTTATTTTCGGGCGTCTAGAACACAGAAATTTCGCGGGGGACCCCCTGGGACATTGTTGTCTCAATCGGCCCCCTTTTCGGCCCCCCCTTTTGGATATCTCTGGATCCGCCCCTGTACCTCATTGGCATCATTGGTTATGGTGGAAGAAATGAATTTTAATGCTCTCTTATTTTTTAACTATGACCAGAATCTTTTGGGGTTTGTAGTTATATCTGACGACAATAATGTTTAACTACCAATTTTAACTTGTACTTGTTCCCGATGGTGAATAAGACCACGGTTCTGTCTGTTAGCAATCTCTACTTTTCGTGGCTATGTATCAACGGTGGGTTTAGGATGTGGGTTAGCAAAAAATCTTCCCTAAAAATAGTGTGAAAAATTATGCTACTTTGATACGAGACAGAGCAGGGACAATTTTACCTTAGTATTGCCCACACTTGTGCTACCAAGTCCTCACAAACAGTGGCGGCTCTAGGATATATTTTCTGGGGGGGCTAAGTTGTCCGACAAGGGGACTTGCTGTCTCTTATACACATCTAGATGTGTATAAGAGACAGGTACTCTATTTCAAGAGGAGGGCGGAAAAGAAATAAAAATAAAATTATATTTATATTTATTTGAGGAATATATACTTCGTGTATCACATAGTACATCTTTTTACTATATTAAAAAGTATGCAACTTTAAATTTTCGGAAAAAGGGATTCCATGTAGCGGAGGACAGAATAAAAATAAATTATTTTTTTTCAATTTTTCATGGCGGCTTGTACGCTAACACACTTATAATAAAATTTTATTTTTATTTTGAAATCCACAATTTCGGAATTGGAGGGTTCGCTAAACAAGGTATAAAGAAGTCTCGCCTTATTTAAAGCACTAAAAATGTATATTTATTTATACTGTAAAGGGCCTGAGGCCTATCACACTGAATAAAGTCCCCATTTAGGGGAGAGTAGAAGAAGTATGTGGGTTTTGATAAGGAGTTCCGCATAGTCACAAGCCGAACCCCGCATTGAAATTCCTAAATACGGGCCTGACAAAGATCTGTTGCATTAATGAGCAGCTCTTATCTTGGACAGATGAGAGCTGCTCCCTGGACAGACTGTATATTTCCAACTTTCATCTTACATTTTTCTATAGCTTAGTCCTACTGCTTTTTCGACAATTTGCACCTCACACATTCTCATCTGAGGTTTCAAGAAAACCTGCAATGATCATGCCATCATGCTAATCTCAATCGGCCGGTTGGCCAACAAGCTAACCACCACCTCTAATTTCATCTGCCATTCTACTGTGTAATACTGTACTCACAACATTCTTGTCATGGCAAGCCACGCTCTCTGGACCATTATCTTTTCCGCCGCACCACCATTCGTAATTTGTGGTGTCCTTATATAATCGTTTTTCATTCAAACTGTGCCTCTTGAATTTAATAAGTTCTCATATAAGAACCCTTCGATTTTCTTATATTTCCATAAGCGCCACCTCAATTTCCACTCTGTTTTGATAAGCGCCCCGTTTGAATAAGCGCCCCTCAAAAAGTGCAAAAAATATTTTAAGCGCTCGGGCGCTTATTCGCGCGAGTACGGTAGGTATGCTTCCTGACAACTATAGTCCCGGAGCTAATTAGCTCCGTGGGAAGATGAGCCCACCACAACACCAAATACAAATATTTCAATTCTTAAAAGTTGTCAGTAAATTTATTAGGTCTATCCTAGGCACAAAACATCGGTAAGCATGGAGATGATTATGCAAATGTACACTTACCTGCAGTATAATCGTGATTATACAAGTCCTCTTGAGGTGAGAATCAATTCGCGTTTCCCCAGCTGCTTGGCGGCTCACCAGTTTTCAAAACTAAAAATACCCAACTCCTGCTTTCTGTGACCTTCGACCTCCTTTCAAAGTACTATATAACTGGGTTGGGCTAAAATATCATCGGATCCACCCGTATGATACATTCCAGGGTGGGGCATGTTATTTAATATGAATTCAAGCTACAAAAAACAGCTGTAATATACCATATGAGAATGTAAAATAACACTCAGAAAATATCACTAAAAATCCAAACTGTCACAACTCAATACATTTATTAATTATTTATTGATTTTATATTAAAAAAAAACTGTAGTTAAAAGAGAACCAAAACATCAAACGTAACTTGGCTACCAAAAACAAACATACAACTTCGATCATTATAAGACCAAATCGAAACACCAATAGACCCCAAAAAACCTGGGGAGATGGGAACTGGGAACAACCATCTAAAGATCAGATGAGTGCCTCAAGAGGACACAAAAAATGTAGAAAGGGCAGATATGTACATAATTTGTTTCCCAAAGTAGCACAGGCCATCCAGTGGTGTAACTACTGCAGGTTCATCGAACCTGGGCCCCCAACCTCCAGGGGCCCTGATCCCCGCCCCCTTATTAAAAAATCTAATAAAGCAATGCACAAATAAAAACCTGTAATACTGCAAATTATAATTTAAAATTGTTAAAAATAATCATTTATACTGTACATGCATAGGCCCCTATGCCTGTTGTAAAAACCTACAGTTAAAAAAGATGGCACTGCAATCAGTGCAACAACACTCAAAGTGTTTGAGCTTGTAATATCCATGTCTATAGAAAATCATTTCAATTTCATTATATGAACGAGTAAGGGGTGGGGGGGGGCGGTTTGGTGCCATGTAGTATTTGTTCATTAAACATGAAATTAGTTGTTGAATTATGTTTTCTGTAATCAAAACTTTGGTTATATTATTCTTGTTGCAGTAGATGTGTTTCCCAAAACCGAAATTGCATAATCTAAACATGGTTCGATTGTGCTTATGTATTAAGGAGAGATTGGTACAATGTTTTTGCCAATTTTCCTAGATTATGAATCTTGGAACTTACAGACGTATGTGTCGTATATGATAATCCCATGTTAAGTTTTCGTACTTAAGCCCAAATATCTTATATGTTTTACTTGTTTGATACGTATAAAAAAATATAATTGGACCCAAGACACTACCTGTAGTGTGCCAATTCCGATTGATTAGGGGGAAACATTTCAATATTTATTTCGTTAAAGCCAAGGGGCCAAGAAGGGAGTGTTCACGTTGCAGCCTTCGTATCGTTGAATAATAAACCAATATTTAATTGATTTGTATTAAGAAAAATAATTGCTGTATTGTATTGTTGATATGAATTACAGGTAAGACTTTCAAGGTATGAGTGCAATTCTGGGCACCTGAGTTCCATTCTCAAAATGTTCTCACCTCAGCCCCAACCTATACCGTCAAATCCTGCATCCGCCCCAGAATCCATAAGAAGATCTATTAAACGGTGAAGGCATGTAACAGATGAGTGGTACTTCCTAAAAGCATATTGGTACATTTATAAGGTCATTTTCATTGAGATATGTATTAATTTGATCTTGGACTTGCTTTTCAACAATTTTGGCTATGTAGCATACCACTGAGATTGGACTATAGTTGTTAGGGCTTATTTAATGGAACACAGAGCTTTCGCGATATAGCGTAATGCAAGTCTTAGTCTATTATAGCATAATATCGAAATTATGAACTTTTTTCAGATAAATATACTAGATTTTCCGCAGTATCGCCAGATACAAATATCGTAAAATTTAGTGTGTGTGAATACAATTTGAGTTTTTCCATTCTGTTTTGTCTTCTTTAATTGAGTTTTAAATTTCTTTTCCTATATTACTAAAATAATCGCTAAAATTTTCAAAATTACGACTTGGATGAATATTGTTTGAACGTTTGGGATCGTGTTTATATCTGTTTTCAACTGCTAAAAAATAATCTGATAATAAATAATATTCTGATTTGCATTTTCAATTTTTACTCGTGTAGTTGTTTGTAAGTGAACGATTATTAAAAGGTGTTTGTCGGATAAGTGTTTTACAGTTATACATAATCTAACGATATCAGGTGTGATCCATATTTAGCTTATATTGTATAAGATAATTGTTGACATTGTTCATTGGTTAATCTGATAAAAACATCAATTCAATAAATATTGAATGTGCTTTTTCTTTTGGTCATAAGAAGTAGAAATGCTTATTATTATGGTCCCACTGTATGTTTTTGGTGTGTCACTGTTTTGGTAGTTGATTTTTGCAGGTACCCATCATGCACTTCTATTGGGTGGACATACCTTTGTACCATACTTATATAGGCCTACCTACTAATTATTTTTATTATTATTATTATTGTTTATTATTATTTTATTATTTATTTATTTTTTTAATATAATTATATTATATAAACACTTTAATTGTCATGATTGAATGCTTAGATAAAAAGTTATTACATTATATGAATTTTGCTCTAATGGCAGCATCTAATTTGCACATCTAACATAATTATATGCATATAATTAATTCAAAAATATGGTAAAAATGTTCTTTTGACCCTTAAAACATGGTATGGACACTTTGCTTGACATGCAACTATGAAATGTGTCATTTAATAAGCAATGATTCATCTACTCACAACATAATCTTTGACAACAGTGTTGGCGCCAGGACCTGCCCGACGGGGTGGGGGGCCTAGTGGAGCGAATCGAGTCTCAATTAGCTTGGGGGCCAGGGGGCCGCCCAGGGCCCCCGGTGGGGGTCCAGGGGCTTCGCCCCCCCCCCGGGAAGCCACGGATATTTGATGAATTATGGCGAATTTTTATTACTTATTTGATAGGCATCGAGCTACTATAAATGATTTCATGTAGGCTATGCTTTCTAATGTTGAAACCAGTTTCCAAAACCAAAACATTTTGAATAAAAGCAAGAAACAAAGAGTATGCAATGTAACCATCTAATTTATTTTAAAATCGTCATTCTTGAAAGTGAAATTCTATATTTTGGAAATTTTGCATGAAATCTGTCAACCACGCTGTCATGGTCGAGTTTGCTTCACCTATCACGATGTATTCCAACCATCATGAGGCTATCTAAATGAGCATTTGTCATAACAGAACGCAAATTACTTTTAATTTGTCTCATTGAATTATTATTATTGTTATTGTTGTTGTTATTATTGTTGTGATGAAAAGTTAACATTATGGTGGCTAAACGTATATTACAGGTAAATATTTTTTTTTATTTGTTTGTTCCCCGACAAAATTTATCGTCTATCGGCTATGCTTCCCCGACC